TTCTCCTCCTCCCCCACTGCAGAGCCATTGTGGAGTCTTCCCACACCACCCCCACCCTAGCAACACCCTAGCAACAGGAAAGGCTATGATGGTGGACAGAACATACAGTGTGTTACCACGTGAACGGCATTTTAGGGGCAGGCTGTGCAGGGAATTGGCTGCCTGAGGGGAAGAGTGGATCCAAGAAGAGGTCCTGGGATACAAGCCCTCTACTCTGAAATGCCTTGGGCAACTCACCGCTCAGCCTAGAGCCCCGGGCTCTGCTACTGATCTCCTCTCTTGCTCCAAACCAAACCAGCTTTCTACATTTCTCACACAGCACACAGGGAAAGAGTTGTGATGCCTTTAAAGGTCTTTGTCTGATGCTAAGTGAAAGGCAAAGGAAAAAGTTTAATAAAGACTCCCTTTTAGGGTCATGAGCCCAGAGGCAAAGATGGACTTCTACAACCACAAGACTGTATAGCTACTGTTCTTTTACTGCACCATTGATTAAAGTTAAAAATTCTGGGCGCTCTCCCTCCCTGGAGCACACCTGTGCCTTTCTCTTTTCCTTCCTCTTCCCTTTCCCCCTCCCCACCCCAGGCACCCCCTCCATACCCAAGCATCCCCTCCCACCTCAGGGACCCCCTCCACACCCCCTCCACACCCAGGCACCCCCTCCCACCTCAGGGACCCCCTCCACACCCAAGGCACCCCCTCCATACCCCAGGCACCCCCTCCCATCCCAGGGACCCCCTCCAAACCCAAGGTGTGTTACCTTTATCTTCCTCACTCCCAAGCTCGAAGGGCCCTTCCTTTGCCTCTATAACGTGTTCCTAAGCCCATTTCTTTCTTCTATGAATTGCTTCTTCTACCTCTGTGATTTTATAAACAAATATTCTCTTTTTAAAAAATTCTGATTCCAAAACTATTTGGGGGATCATCATTCGTACAGATGGAGTGAGAGATTATTTTTTTAGCAGCAAGCTTTCCGGCAGTCACATCAGTTGCAGAGCAGCACCTTCTCTGGTGACAAGACAATGCCAGGCAGTATTTCCCATCACGCCCTGTGTTTACACCCATTTGAAGCTGCCAATTATGTCAGATCCTTGTCAACAGAAAACAAAAATGGTGCAAGCTGCTATTTAAATTAATTATTGACATTAAGTAGTCCCTGTCTCTAGATCATTATGACTGGACAAATTATTATGACCACCCCATCAATACTTCATTGGGCCACCTTTTGCCTTCAATACTGTGGCGATTCTTATTGGCATTGACTCCACAAGATGTTGAAAGGTGATGCGAGGCATCTGACACCATGCCTGATGAATAGCAGTGTCCAGTTCTGTGAGATTTGATGGTTGTGGAACCAGCTGCCTGATGGCTCTTTTAACTTCGTCCCACAAATGCTCAATTGGATTGAGATCTGGTGATTGTGGGGGCCACCTAAGCAAGGTAAAGTCTCCCTCATGTCCTTGAAACCACTCCTGCACAATACGAGCACCGTGGCACGGCGCATTGTCTTGTTAGGAGAAGCCATCTCCATTGGGATACGCCATCAACATGATAGGATGAACTTTATCAGCAATGATACTTAGGTATGTTGTGCTATTCAAACATTTATAATGATCTGGCCTTGCAGCAACTTCAGCGCGAAATAGCTAATTTGCCTACAAACATCAGGTGGTCATAATAATCTGGCCACTCAGTGTAGATAGATATAGATATAGATATAGATATAGATATAGATATAGATATAGATATAGATATAGATATAGATATAGATATAGATATAGATATAGATAGATATAGATAGATAGATATAGATATAGATATAGATATATAGATACAGATATAGATATAGATATAGATTAGAGGCCCGGTGCATGAAATTCATGCACGGGTGTGGTCCCTAGGCCTGGCCAGCAATCAAAGCACGAGCGTCTGGCATGGAAAGGCAGGTCCCAGCTGACCTCTGGGCCCTGGACAGCACCTGGGCCCCCGGGCCCCCGCACACCTCCTTCTGCCTGAGTCATCAGGCCCCTTCCTGGTTCCCTCAGCACCTGGGAGTCGGGTGGCGGTCCCACCCCTCCACCACCACCACTGGTTGCCATCTGCAGGGCAATCGGTGGGGCGATCAGGCACTGCTCACACCCACCTTGACCTGGCACTGCCAGCTCAACTGCTCCACCCCGCCGGGGTCCTGCTCTCATCGAGGCCAATCGGGCCGGCAGCACCTCCACTGCCACCCATTGCCAACGCAGCATTGCTGACGCCCGCCATGTTCCACGTCGCCCCCTGGTGGTCAGCACACATCATAGCAAGCAATTAAACTCCCAATTGAGGGGACAATTTGCATATTAGACTTTTATTATATAGGATATATATATATGTATATGTATATACATACATATAGGAATCTGGGAATTTGCTGAGTCTCTCTACTTTGTAAAAGTAGTTCAGGCTTGGCTGAACCACTGAGCCCTGCCAGTATGGCTCAGTGGTTGAGCATTACCTATGAACCAGGGCACATGCCGGGATTGCAGGCTTGATCTCCAGTAAGAGGTGTGTAGGAGGCAGCCATCCAATGATTCTCTCTCATCATTGATATTTCTCTCTCCCTCTCCTTTCCTCTCTGAAATCAAGATATATATATAATTTTAAAAGTAGTCCAGGTTTTCCCCAGATCATAGCATATAGAACTTTCACAGGACCTCTCTGAACCTTGGTTTGCTTAGCTGTAAAATGGGAGAATGCCTGCCATGCTTATTTCACAGGATCCTTTGGAAAATCAATCACAGTAACAGATTGCTTTCACTAACTGTAATACCAATTCATTGTGCAAATTGAACTGTAACTGTAGACAAAAGACCCAGAGGAGGTGGTTTGTTGGTGGAATTTCTCTATGTTCTCAATGAATCATATCTCACCCACAGCTGCTATTCCTGGACTTGAGCCCTACCCCAATTCCTGCTTCCATTTGCAGGAGAAAACTGCAATCTGTCTGTCGGTCTTCCACGCCATCCAGTGGTCTGTTGGCCAAATAACACCAACTTATCCAGTGGATTTGAAAGACTTGGGGAGAGTAATTCAAAATAATTCAGACTACTTAAATCTACCACTTGATTAAATGTATTTGGGGCCCCCATTTTTTTTTAATTAAATCTTTATTGTTCAGATTATTACATTTGTTCTCTTTTTTCCCCCCCATAACTCCCCTCCTCCCAGTTCCCGCCCCACCCTCTGCCCTCACTCCCCACCCACTGTCCTCATCCATAGGTGCACGATTTTTGTCCAGTCTCTTCCCGCATCTCCCACACCCCTTTCCCCCGCAAGAATAGTCAGTCCATTCCCTTTCTATGTCCCTGATTCTATTATAATCACCAGTTCATTCTGTTCATCGGATTATTTATTCACTTGATTCTTAGATTCACTTGTTGATAGATGCATATTTGTTGTTCATAATTTGTATCTTTACCTTTTTCTTCCTCTTCCTCTTCTTAAAGGATACCTTTCAGCATTTCATATAATCCTGGTTTGGTGGTGATGAACTCCTTTAGCTTTTCCTTATCTGTGAAGCTCTTTATCTGACCTTCAATTCTGAATGATAGCTTTGCTGGATAAAGTAATCTTGGTTGTAGGTTCTTGGTATTCATCACTTTGACTATTTCTTGCCACTCCCTTCTGGCCTGCAAAGTTTCTGTTGAGAAATCAGCTGACAGTCGTATGGGTATTCCCTTGTAGGTAACTGAGTTTCTTTCTCTTGCTGCTTTTAAGATTCTCTCTTTTTCTTTTGCTCTTGGCATTTTAATTATGATGTGTCTTGGTGTGGTCCTCTTTGGATTCCTTTGGTTTGGGGTTCTCCGCGCTTCTTGGACCTGTAAGTCCATTTCTTTCACCAGGTGGGGGAAGTTTTCTGTCATTATTTCTTCAAATAGGTTTTCAATATCTTGGTCTCTCTCATCTTCTGGCACCCCTATAATTCTGATGTTGGTACGCTTGAAGCTGTCCCAGAGGCTCCTTACACTATCCTCGCATTTTTGGATTCTTTTTTCATTTTGCTTTACCGGTTGGGTGTTTTTTGCTTCCTCGCATTTCAAATCATTGACTTGATTCTTGCGCTCCTCTGGTCTGCTGTCGGGAGTCTGTATAATATTCGTTATTTCAGTCCGTGTATGCTTAATTTCTAGTTGGTTCCCCAATATAACATCAAGGGTCTCATTAGTTTTCTTGTAGATCTCATTAAGTTTATCGGCAGCTTCTAAACAGTTCTTGAGAGACCTTAAAAGTGTAGTTCTGAATTCTATATCTTCCATTGACAATTTTGTCCTGTTTCTTTGTCTCCGCATTTTGTTATGCTTCCTTGGTGCACCCCCTAGTGGTCTTTGTTCGCAGTCTTATAGTTAAACCTTGTTGTAGCTAATACCAGGGAGGGTTTGACCTCCAGGCCAAGTGGCTATGAGAATCAGCTGTGTCTGCAGTGAAAGAACTTCTGTCCTCTAGGGAGGTGTTAATCTGGTGTTTGCCTGAGACTATCCGGCAAATGCCTCTGTGCAGGGCTTGGGCGGGGCGGGTCGTACAGGATCAACAGGGTGGGCCAGAGAGAGCAGTTATGGAGGCTCTCAGTCCTGTCCCCAGGGGCTCTGCCTCTCTGAGTCCCAGCACCCTCTGCAAAGCTCGGAGAGAAAGCTGCACTCGCTCTGACCGAAGCCAGACAGTCCCGCTTCTCCCGTTTGAGTCTGGGTCCCTAGACTCGCCGGGATCTGGAGCTCAGAGTCTGCGACTCCCTCCTGATTGAAAACGCCAACCGCGCCCTCCGCCGCCAGCCCGCTCCGCGCACTCCGCACCTCAGAATTTGACTTCAGCACTGTGCCTCCTCTGAGTGTCCGTATGCGTTTCTCTTTCCTCCTAGTTGTAGGACTTCCACTCAGCCAGCGTTCCTGTGGTTCTGGGTGATGTCCCTTCCATCTTTCAGTTTCACTTTTGAAGTAGTTGTTCAAGGCAGCAAACTCCGGCGTTAACCTATGCCGCCATCTTGGTTCTCTCCTGGGGCCCCCATTTTTAAAAGCTTGTTGAAAAATCAAATCATTAAATTGTGATATGAACAATAAATCCCTAATTTATCTTTGTAAATTAAGAAACGCATACATGAATCAACAGTTTTTCAGAATAACTTCTAAAAACAAATTCTTATTGTCTATTAAATAGCTTAGTTGTTTACAAACGGTCTCCAGATGCAAGTAAAATATTTAATATTAAAAGGAAATTCATATATTTAAGCATATTTATGATACAGTAGTGGCATTTTAAAATGAAAATGAGCAATGCCTACTTTTTTGTCTCAAAATTTTTGACCCAATCACTCCTCTACAGTTGAAAAGCAGTAACATTTTGTTGTCACTCAAATTTATTCATAACTTTTCCTTTATCCGAGCTCTGGAAACATGTATCATAAATACTTGTTAAAGAGAGAACAGTGCTTTCATCTTAGCTATGTCATTTCTCTGAGCAGTGATAACTATTTCAGACCATTAAAGCGCCAAAGACCTCTTGTCCCCTTTGGAAGAGGTCCACCGTGCTACTCAGGGGCCAAGGCTGCTCCCAGGAGGATTTGCTGTTCAGCAGGGGCCAGAAATGGACCCAGGCTCTTGGGGCCGCACAGTGGGAAGAACACTGGGTCCAAGGTCAGAAGCCTTAGTGCCCATTTAAACCAGAGTTGGTCTGGATTCTCGCTTCATTCTTTTCTCAAGGCCCCCTCCCCAGTGAGCTCATTTAAAAGAAACAAATTCCAACTCTAATTTGTGTCTGTCTTTTTTAAAGCTCTTGAAGAAATGGTGATAAAGAGGGGAAATTGCATTCTGCAGTACACACTCACTTTCTAGAAGTGTACACATCTCTTCTCCTTAGAATCCCATCCACCATGGCCACTGTCCCCCAAATTCTCTCCTTTCTAACCCCCAGCTGGCCTCTCCTTCACTCTGGGTCTTTTCCTTGATTCTATGAATAGCTGCATAGCCTCCACTTCTTCATCCCAATGAATGCCTCTAGGGAGGCAGGAGAGAATTCTGGGAGGACAGAGGCTAGAGAAGGGACCTTCCAGGAGGTCAACATTGTCACAGCTTTTGGCGGGTAAATTAACACTTTATGGCCTGAGGTTTTCTCCCTCTTCCTTTCTCCATAATAACTTCAATGATGCACTAGTCTGAACACTGTGTAGTTCTTTTACACTTATGCCCTAAGAAAGGTCATCCTCTCACATAAAAAGCTGTCCCTCCACACTGGGTAGGCCTACAAGTGTGTGAAACGTGTCTTAGTCTGCAAGCTGCTGTAACAAAATACTACAGGCTGGATGGCTTAACCAACAGATAATGAACTCCTCACAGTCCTGGAGACTAGGAAGTGTAAGATCAGGAACTGTAGGGTTTAGTAGTGCCTGGCTTGCAGGCCACCTTCTCACGGGGGGGGGGGGGGGGGGGATCTACTGTCTTTTATTATAAAGAAGCTAATTCTATCAGATTGGGACCCATTCTTATGACCTCTTTTAACCTCAATTACTTCCTTACTCCAAATGCACACTGGGGGCTAGGCGTTCCACCTCTGATGTTGTAGTGGACACAGTTCTGATCACAGCAGAAGGTAATAACCAGGAAGAAATGTGACCTTACCCAGCTCAAGTAGCGAAGCCAGACCTGACCTCCCATCTTCTGACATAAGCCAAAGAGCGCTGGTTCCCTGGCACCACAGTCTCTAGGACAACAAGGAGAAAGGGGAGAGGGGGTACAGCATGTGTTGGATTTCTCCTTGTGGTGCGTGAGCCTCTCCTCACTGATTCTCGGAGCAACCTCACCAGAGAGACGTCCCACTCTACAGCTGAGGAGTCCCTGGCTGAGACAAGGTGATTTGTTTCAGATGGTCCTTGTGGTCCTGGCAGAGTGGGACTTGAGTGCTTTGGACCACCCACAGCACGCCGTGAGGGGCGGGCACAGGATGCCCGGCAGGAGACAGCCCACTAGAGTAGAGGGCGCCATGAGCCTACGGGCGTGTCTTCTCTGACCCTCCTCCATGAAACGGGACACTAATGCTTCATCTCAAGGCTGTTCTGAGATTAAATAAGACCATGGGTGTGAATTGCTGGCCGAACCAGGGCTCCACCAGGCTGCTTCCCTCCCGGCTTCCCTCTGAGAGCCCTCCCAGACCTGGGAAGGCAGCTTCGCCTGAAATAACTAAGCACCTGCCAGCCTCCCACATGCAAGATTACAGGGAACAAAATGAATGAAAACTCCATTCCTTTTACTCACCAGCCAAAAAGTCCTGCCCTCCCAGCGGGGTGGATTCTAAAGCCAGTGGGCGAGCTGTCCGTTCCTTGGCAGGCTGCAGCAGGGAGCCACTGCCCACAACCTGGGAACACCAGTCCCAGCCTTCAAGCTTCAGGCTTCAGCCCAGGCACAGGCCTCACTCCCCACCCAGCCTCAGCGACACCCCCGACCCCTCCTCAGGCTCATGCCCATGTCCAATCAGTCCTGTCGCTCCTGCCTTAGCAGCGTCTCTACGGTCAGGTCCTCCTCTCTGTCCACCTTGCATGGCTTCACCTGGGGTCCTGAGCATCTCTCATGCACATGCCCCCGCTTAGAGTCTCACTGCTCCAGGCCCATCCCGTGCTGCTGCCTCCGGTCATCTCCCTCAAGCAGAGCCTATCCCATCACCGTCCTGCTTAAGGAGATGCCCCCTCCTTATGGTGGCATCCTTGAGTTTCATGCTCCACGCTGGCTCTCCTGCCATCCCAGGACACTGAGCCCTCCCACCAGCTCCTTGCAGGCGCTCCCCACCCAGGAACACCCGACCCTCTCTGCCTCACAAGCTCCTCTTTGCTCTCCCAAGCAGCTAAGCAGCTCACAGGGCACCTGGTCTAGGAAGCCTCCACTCCACCCTCTCAGGGGAGAACTACCACATTCTGCTGGTTTTCACAGCATTTGGACCATTTTTCACATTGTCTGACCATTAGCTTCTGGGCTCTGTCTTCCCTGCCGGACTGCGAGATCCTGGGGCACAAGGGCTGTTTTATTCATCTTTGCAGTCCCAGTGCCTGACTCAATAGATGCTCAATAAATGTTGACTGACTGAATGAATGAGGTCTCTTCTTTTTATTGTGAATGAAGTTCTATACATTTTAAGTTCAAAATCAACCTTCAATGTATCTGAAATTACCTATCTTAATTTTTTCTCTCTTGCCCTGTATTCATTCATCTTTCTGAATGTTAAGTCCTAGAAATAAACGTCTTTCCATCCCTGTAGGCTCCATGTTGATTGGCTGACCGACCCACTGACTTCCCAATGGGACCAAATCTGCGGGCCCTACACACAGCTCCCTTGGCTGGTGGCTCTGCCCATTGGATCTACTCTCTCCGCAGGGATGGGAGTAAGGAAGAAGCCGCACCTGGCTTCATGGCTCAGGCTTGTTTTCTTGGCTGCTCAGGGTGCTGAGGTGGTTAATAGGCAAATCAGTCTCCGTATTCAAATACGCAGTTAATAAATCCTGAAAGAGATACAAATCCAAATCTTCCAGCAGCGCCTGTAGGCAAAACCTGTGCTTTTCCTAATCCCCCTTAACCCCTAAGGATCACCATCTTTTCCACCATGGCAAGTGGGCTTAGGACCAGATGGTGGGCAGCATCGCTCCCTGAGAATTCGAGCCTGGGAGATCTCCCCTGGGAGATTTCCTGACTCTATGCAAAGGATTCTCACCAGGGGAGGAGCCATGGCTGGAGGCTGTGTGCCCTGTTTAAATGCAGCAGCACCTCTACCGGCTACCATGTGCACCTGAGCTTCCTAGCACAACCCAGCCCGCAGCGGAGAGCATACAAGCCATTGCAGGGCCAGCCCTGGGACCTGGTAAGCCTAGAAGCCCTCGTGTTGAAGACACGCGTTTAATTCCCCCCTCCCCCCCCCCCCCCCCCACCTACCTCCGGAGCTGGTCTCTCTCAAACTAGGACTCTGACCACACTTTGGAGTGGAACCACACGTATGGTACAGAGCTGCCAGATCCAGGTAGAGGCTGATCCAGCCAAGGTCATGATGCTCTGCAGCCCCCCCCTCCCCTTTTTTTTAAATCCATCTTTTTTAAAATATATGTATTTTTATTGATTTCAGAGAGGAAGGAAGAGGGAGAGAGAGATGGAAACATCCATGATGAGAGAATCACTGATCGGCTGCCTCCTGCAAGTCCTCCACTAAGGGTCGAGCCCACAATCTTGACCAGAATCGAACCTGGGACCTTTCAGTTCGCAGGCCGATACTCTATCCACTGAACCAAACCAGCTAGGCCCCTTTTTTGTTGTTGTTAATCCTCACCCGAAGATATTTTCCCATTGATTTTTAGGGAGAGTAGAAGAGAGGAGAGACAGAGAGAAACATTTATGTGAGAGAAACACATGGATTCGTTGCCTCCTGTGCGAGCCCTAACTAGGGCCCCGGGTCAGGGAGGAGCCTGCAACCAAGGTACATGCCCTTGACCGGAATTGAACCCCAGGACACTTTGGTCCACGGGTCGATGCTCTATCCACTGAGCTAAACTGGCTAGGGCTGTGGTCCCTTTTGCTTCCCCCCAGGGGCAGCAGGAGCAGCAGGAGCAGCTGGGCTCCCAGAAGGAGCCTCCCAGGAGATGGAGAAGCTGGATACGAATGCCTCAGAGGAACAGGGACTCTGCCAGCTCTCGGAGGACTACAAGCAAATCTACCTCCCCCTGACCTACAGCATCATCTTCCTGCTAGGGCTGCCCCTGAACGGCAGCGTCCTGTGGCTCTCCTGGCGCCAAACCAAGCGCTGGAGCTGTGCCACCATCTACCTGGTGAACCTGATGGTGGCCGACCTGCTGTACGTGCTGACGCTGCCCTTCCTCATCGTCGCCTACTCCCTGGGCGACTGGTGGCCCTTTGGGGAACTGCTCTGCAGGCTGGTGCGCTTCCTGTTCTACACCAACCTCTACGGCAGCATCCTGCTACTGACCTGCATCTCCGTGCACCGCTTCCTGGGCGTGTGCCACCCCCTGAGGTCGCTGCCTTACCGGACCCGCCGGCACGCCCTGCTGGGTGTAGCTGCCACCTGGGCCCTGGTGGTCCTCCAGCTGCTGCCCACACTGGGCTTCGCCCACACGGCCTACATCGGCGGCCAGATGGTCTGCTACGACATGACCAGTCCGGAGAACTTCGATCGGTTTTTTGCCTACAGTATGGTTCTGACGTTGTCCGGCTTTGTCATGCCCTCCTTGGTCATCTTGGTGTGCTACTCGCTGATGGTCCGGAGCCTGGCCACGCCGGAGGAGACCCTCGAGAGGGCGGGGAACACCACCCGGGCCAAGTCCATCCGGACCATCCTGCTGGTGTGCAGCCTCTTCGCCCTCTGCTTTGTGCCCTTCCACGTCTCTCGCTCCTTCTACATCACACTCCGCTTCCTGGCTTCCCAGGACTGCCAGCTGCTGACGGTGGGCAGCATGGCCTACAAGGTGTGGAGGCCTCTGGTGAGCATGAGCAGCTGCCTTAACCCGGTCCTGTACTTCCTGTCGGTCGGGAACAACAGAGTCAGGCTCTTCCAAAAACTGAGGCATGACAAGGCGGGCGAGCACCCAGCTGGAGGCAAGGGAGAGAGACCCCGGGGTGGGCAGATCTGGGTAGTGCCAAGATGAAGGTGGGGGAAGCGAGCTCCAAGATGTTACAGTTACAATGACTTGGTGGAAGACAGTCCTGTGCTGATGGGAGAGGGACTCACGATTGCCTAGTGGTGTCCTGCTGGAAAGGGCTGTACATTGATGTTGAGATGTCAAAATAATATGGAGAGACCTATGTGGAATCTAATGAACAAAATAAACTAATGAACAAAACAGATCCAGAGACATAGAAGCATGGAACAGACTGTTGAATCTCAGAGGGAAGGCAGGGGAGGGTGGGTGGGTGGGTGGGAGGAGATCAGCCAAAGAACTTGTATGCATATATGCATAACCCATGGACACAGAGAATAGGATGGTGAAGGTTTGGGGGGTGAGGGGACGGACGAGGGGGGAGGGGCTAGAAGGGATCAATGGGGGACGTATGTAATACTTTCAACAATAAAGATTTAATAAATAAGTTTTAAAAAACATACACAAAATTGGCAAAAGAAAAGAAAGAATATGGAGAGAGCCACCAACACAAAGGAAATTTTTATTTTAATGACAGCTGACATTTATCACATCATTCAGGCCTTTCAGCTCAAATGTCACCTCCTCAGAAGCCATGCCAGCCTATCAAAGCTAATGTTGGTATCTCTTCCCATAACGCAGTCACTGTATTTTCCTACCCATTGTCTTGTTAACACTTATTAGTATCTGGGCTTGTTAACTAGTTTACTTATTTATGATCTGTCTCCCCCCCCTAGACTATGGGCTACTATAGGACAGGGACCTGGTCTGACTACTGTGCCTCTAATGCCAGTCTCCACAGCAGGGCCCAAGACATGGTGAGGGCACAGGATAAGGGGGCTGAATGAATAAGTGAAGGAATAAATGGATGGGTGAGTGAATTACTATGGAATCACTATGAACTGCTATGTAAGAGCACTTTACATGGAGTAACTCACTGAATACTCACAACAGCCCTTGGAGGTGGGAGCTACTGGTGGCCCCAGGTACAAATAAGAGGACCACAGCACAGAGCTCAGAGTAACCTGTCCAAGATCACCTGGGGAAGGCCCACGCCACAGTGCTGCCTGGAAGCTCTGGACCCAGGAACTGAAGGGCACACTCCTAAGACGGGAGCACATGGCCCCGTCCAGAGACTGGTCTGAGCCAGCCCGTGCCCCTGGACAGTCGGCTGGTTTTATGTCAGCTCGCTCATTAATTGCTCTTCTCTACAGACCATGCATATATAGGAGGAGCTCTTTCACTATCTTACTAAGCAGTGTTCTGGCTGAGGTTAGAGAGAGCTCTGCAGGTAAAGTGGGGGTGCAGGTTAAAGTGACTTCATGAATGCAGGGTTCTGTTGGAACATGATGCCTCAGTTTATGACAGATAAGTTTTACCACTGTCTTAAATCACAATATGATGTTCATTCTCTAAAATAAAAATTATTTAAAAGCCAAGGTAATTCAAAAAAATGACCTTTAAAAAAAAAACCTCCTATTTAAACAATAATGATCTGCAAAGACTTCTCAGATCTAATCACATATTATTTAAGAATTCATTATAATCTCTTTATGAAGAGGTGGATAAACCTTTTTCATAAAAAACAAAGTGAAACCCCTCATTACCACCCCACTCTAATTACTAAAAATGTCTGAGTAAACCATATATATGTCTAGAGTATAAAATTTTATTCTAAAAGTTCAGTTTATTGCTTTCAAGGGCACACAATAATTAGAGCTAGACGAAGTGTTGCCAGCAGATTTCCTTAGGATAATTAGCTTAATGAATAGGGAAGGATGTTTTCTGATTAGCAGGTCAGCTGTTTCCTCATGAGTAAATGTTTCTATAGTAGCTGAGAGAGCTTCAAGCTGTTTGCTCTTTTGAACATTCGCTTAGCTTATTAATTTTTGTCTCTTTCTTTGCATAACACACTGGGAAGATTCAGCCAACTTAGAGTCCGAATGATCTATCCCCCCTTATAAATGAATGAAGTTTAACATTACTGGAGAATGGGTGCACTAGGCTCCCCCAGGCAGCTTAAACCCACCCCACACCTCACTTAGCCATGACCTCTAATGCCCACCAGTCCTGGAAGTGGGAAGAAAATGAACCTAGAATCCTCGGGATGCATCGCCTTTATCTGAAAACCAAGTGCTTTATACCCCTGCCAACATGTGCCAGCTAACCTATGCTTGCAATTACTTCTCTGATCCATATAATGCTAATTGTTTCTGTGGTCTTTTGACCTCCTTAACAGCAAAGAGTATAAGCATCCATTTCTAACTTTTTTCTGGATAGTTGGGATCAAAAAGTTTTAACGTAGCTGACATTGTATCCCGGTTTTCGGGGACCGTTAAGACAAAAGAAACAAACTAGACTAGTGGGTCCCCTTTGTAAGAGGAGCTGGGGACGCACTGTCCAGCATAAGTTTCTCCCGTGGTTATGGGAAACCCATCCCACAGAAGGGGACAAGGAGACCAGAAGAAACAAAAGTTCTTCCTGTGCCCTAGCTGCTCTGGCTCAGTGGAGAGAGCGTTGGCCTGCGCACTGAAGGGTCTGGGTTTGATTCCGGTCAAGGCCACGTACCTCGGTTGCAGGCTCGATCCCCGGCATGTTAGAAGTCTCTCTCTCACAGGACACATGTTTCTCTCCTTCTCTCTCTCCCTGTCCCTTCCACTCTCTCTACAATAAATTAATGGGAAAATATCCTCGGGTGAGGATTAACAAAACAAAAAGTTCTTCCTGAATCTACCCACCATCCTGGTGAAAGCTGGGATCTCTAAATGTGGTGTCCCTCTGGGTCCCGAGCATCTTGCATGATCTGCCTGGTTGTTTGGCAGCTTAAAATAAAATCAAAAGTCAGCGAATATTATCATGTTCAAAATACCATGAATGCGGAGCAGTACTAGATGCGGTAGCCACTTACAAAAGTATCAAGCACAGTGCCAGTCTGTAAGAAGGCTACAGGAGAGACAAAACAAACCTAAACAACAATACGCACACTAATCAACAACTTCAGCAGCTATGGAAGAAGAAGTCATGTCAATTACCGACTAATCCAAATGAACAATACAGACAGGAAATATTAGGGAAGTTTGGGGGAGGGTGGTGAGAGCACTTTCAGCTGAGAGAGAGCCAAGAAGGGTATTATGAGTCTGCTGAAGGCTGCATGAAATTTCAATTATTGGAATTCCCCAAGCAATGCAGAAAATGAAGCACTTTTGTGAAAGCCAACGTTTGGTTCCTAAAGGGGAAGAGGGAGATCATTCTGGGAGGGAAAGAACCACTGTTCAAGGCACAGGGAACCACCAAGGGTATTTGAGCAGGAGAGGGTGATATGATCAGAGATGTGACTTAGAAGTGTATTGGCAGCCCCCATGTTTGAATGAATTTGAAAAAAGAAACAAAATGTGACAGCAGACTTCAAGGTCTCCTTACTGGTCTTCCTTTCCCTCGAAGACATCCCACATAACACCTCCAGATTTTCCTTAAAACAGCGTTTTTCATACATCACCGCCTCCCCAATTGTGTCAGTTTCCTTCCTATACCATCATTTCCATACAACAAAGTTCAGATATCTCCTGTTGGCATACTAGGCCCATCACTGTCTACAAGGGAACTGTTCAACTCACAGGTCTCCTACCACACCAGGTGGACGTCTACCCCTCACATTTACCACAGGGCCACCATCTGCCAAAAAACAATAATCCCTTCTCCAAATGCCTAAGTACTCATCTTCCCAGACCATGAGTTCTCCTTCCTCCAGCTACCCCCAAACTCACTCACTCTGCCTGCTGACTTACCACCACAATCCACTGGGCTTCTCACCTTGGAGTTGATGATGGGCTCCTTTATCATTTCAGTCTGTGTTTCTCCCCCACTATTTGACTGTTCAATCTATAGAACAGGGCATCCTAGTAACATTCTGAACATAGTAGACACTTAATAAGCAATGGTGATGCTGATGATGGAGGAAGAAGAAGGTGGTCAACATTCAGAAGACCACTGCAGTGATCCAAACATACAGATAATGGGCACGAGTAGAACTAACAAGACTTTAAGGCATACTGGAAAGAATGAGGAGAAATAAAATGATTATTTGGACACAAGTGGTAAAAGAGACATAAAAATGACTCAGGGATTCTCAGCCTGAGGAACCAGAAGAAAACTAGCACATAGTGGGTGCTCAATAGTCTTGGGGGAAGAAAAGGAAAGAAAGGGAGGGAGGGAAGGGTGGGAGGAACGGAATGAGGCTGTGCATTGTGGGGGACAGTTCAGACTCAGACAAGTGCAACGTGAACTGCCTGTGAGACGAGTTGGAAATGTAGGATGGAGGATCTGAGACAGCTGGGGCTCAAGCTCTGGATTTAGAGTTATCTGTCCAGGCGAATATTTACAACTGCAGACATAAATAATCTCTCTGAGGGAGAAGAAAAAAGAATGAACGAACAGAGGACCTAGGAGATACAGGAATCATAAAACCTTCTGACAGGGAATACAGGGATAGGGGTTGGGGGTAGATAATAGAGCACTGGAAAATCAAATGAGGTTTTAAGAGAGTTGTCAAGGGTGTTACATAAAACAGACCAGGCAAAAAAGCACAAACAGATGTCTCTCAGCAAACAACTCAAATGCCCTCTTCTAAGGAGCCTCCCCTGATCGCCCATCAGAAGGCCCTATTCCTTCTCTGACCCATCAGCCGTCCCTGTGAGGGGACACCTTCCCTCCTGCCAGGTCTGAGCAGCATCATTTAAACCCTCTTCTCTCCCTTCCTGCAGGATCTAGCAGAGGCCTGAACACATGGGGACTCACTAAATCTTTGTGGAATAAATGAATATACAGCAAACAGTTCTCCTGTGTATGCTTTCCTGGAATTACTGCCTAAACCCAATTTATAAATGTGTGCCTATAAAACTAAATCACAAGTTGTTTGGGATTTATTTGTTCTAACACCAACTCCAATTCACTGCAATTCCAGGACACACAATACCTACAAGCATTCTCACTTTTTAGCCCACAACTCAAAGACAATGAAGAGGGGAAATTTTTCACAAAGTCATTTGCAATCCAGCATAACCTCAGCTTATAAAATCATGTATTCTCATTATCATTTACTTTCTTGTGAACAAGCCAAATTTCTGTAGTATTTCCATTTCTCAACTCTTTGTTGAGGGTTGGTATTTTTTAATGTATCAAACAACTTCCAAGGTAATGGCTTTAAGAATTACTCCATGATAAGAGCAGAACTTATGTTCCTGCAGCAAGCTATAACTGGGCGTTTTTATAGTGGTTAAATCATGAACAAAAAGCAAGAAGTGCCACTCCAAGAAAATTAACGAATCAGAGAGTCTGAGAATGTTCCACTCCACAAGTGGAAAAATACATTAACAATGAGACCTTTCGAGAGTGTTATCCCAACAATCAAAGAAACAGCCATTCAAGACTCCTTATGTTCTCTCTTCTTTTATAGCCTAGTTTCTTGCAAGGGGAGATTATACTTTTTTCCTTTTCATTTTTATTTTTTTGCGCAATTTCTACCTTGAAGTTATACTCCAAATCTTTACAAATCAGCTGCTGCCCGTCCCACTGCAATTGCTCTCAACAATGCATCAATGACTTATCAGTTACAACTGAATGGGCACCCAGACCCTATCCTGCTTGAGTGTCGGGGCATTTGCCACTGTCACCCACTCTCTTCTTAAACTCCCCCTTTCTTCCACAGAATGAACCCTCCCCTACTTCCCTTCTCATCTTGTCCTGCTCCCACCCTGTAAGTGTGGGTGGGTGTACCTTAGGATTCTGTCCTCTGATTTATTTTAAATGTGTTTTTATTGATTTTAGAGAAAGAGGGAGATAGAGAAACATTGATGTGAGAGCACAGCATTGATCGGCTGCCTCCTGCACGCCCCCTACTGGGGATCGAGCCCACAACCCAGACATGTGTCCTGACGGGGAATGGAACTGGTGACCTCTTGGTTCATGGGTTGACGCTCAACCACTGAGCCACACTGGCTGAGCTTGGCACTCTTCTCTCGTTCCCACACTCTTCCTGCACAATCTCACTGACTCCCTGATGGGCCAGAAATCTTCTTGTATTTCAAATCTATGCTTCCACCCATACAACAGACCCTCGGGCACTGCAAACTTCAAAATGCCAAAACTGAAATCATTTTCCTCCCAAACCTGCTCTTTCTGGTAAAGTGGCAACATCATCCATCCACACCGGAAATCTGGGAGTCATCCTCAACTCCGGCCTCTCTCCCTCATCACAGTCGTGCTCACAGTCAGTTCGAAGGATCACTAGAACCTGTTCTCTCCTTCCTCTCAACTGCCAGTGCCTTCGTTCAAATTCCCATCATCTCTTGTGGGCTTCACTGCTCCAACCTACTGACTCCACATTTGTTCCCCTTAACCTGCAATTAATTCCCTTCCTTCTGGTAGAGTCATCTTCCAAAATGTAAATCCTTTCTTAATCCCCAACATAAAAATCTTCCAAAAGCTCCGATTTGCCTTCAGGATTAAGATAAAAATAAGTCAGGCCGGAGTGGCTCAGTTGGTTGAGCATCGTCCTGTGCACAGAAAGGCTGCCAGTTCAATTCTCCAGTCAGGGCACAGGCCTGGGTTGTGGGTTCGATCCCCAGTTGGGGTACATATGTAAGGCAACCAATCAATGTTTCGCACATCAATTTTTCTCTCTCTTTCTTCCTCTCAAAGCATTTCCTTGGGTGAGGAATTTTTTTTAAAAAAATCAATATGAACATGGAATGAAAAGCCCTCAGCAATGTACCTCATATGAAAGCTTTCAACCTAAACTCTCCATGCGCCCCCTTCATCCCACTTCCATTAACCAGCAGACTCTCAGAATTAGCTCTGGAACCTCTGACCCTCCCCCAATTTTACCCACACCTCCTCTGCTTAGGTGCATTATCCTACTTATCCTTTACGATGCAGCTCAAAGACCATCTCTGAATACCATTGCTCTGAATAGCCATTGCTCTATGGTAGTGCTCATCAGGCTGCACCACAATCACAGCCACTGGTCCTTTGTCCATTTCCCCCCTTCATCAATGAGACCCTTAAGGAAGGTGTTCCACATTTTCCACATCTCTGAATTACCACCTCTACTAAAGAGCCTAGGTTCAGTGATGCCAGAAAGGAATGATAACACAGAAATCTGCATATCTTACATGATCAAGCATTATTATAGGCTCACTAGAGGCCTGGTGCATGAAATTCGTACATGAGTAGGGTCCCTAGGCCTGGCCAGCCATCAGGGCTGATCAGGGCCTTCCTTCACCTGGCTGCTGGCTGCTGGCTGCCAGCCGGGACCTTCCTTCATTTTGCACCACCCCCTGGTGGTCAGCGCAAGTCATAGCGAGTGGTCAAACTCCCGGTCGGTTGAACTCCCAAACTCCCGAGGGGACAATTTGCATTTTAGCCTTTTATTATATAGGATGCTTGGTTTTTCCCATTACTACATTCCTTTGAATCATAAGATGATGTCAAAGACAAGATACAGCCAATTTCAGAGACATTAAAAGGTGAAATATGCCGAACCAGTTTGGCTCAGTGGATAGAGCGTCGGCCTGCGGACTCAAGGGTCCCAGGTTCGATTCCGGTGAAGGGCATGTACCTTGGTTGCGGGCACATCCCCACTGGGGGGCGTGCAGGAGGCAGCTGATGGATGTTTCTCTCTCATCAATGTTTCTAACTCTCTATCCCCCTCCCTTCTTCTCTGTAAAAAATCAATAAAATATATTTTAAAAAATTGTGGGGGAAAAAAAGGTGAAATATTGTAGTCTCTGAAAGACAGCATATTTATTTAAGTAAAAGAAACATAAAAAAGTTATGCACTTTGTCGTCAGATTAGAAAAGCATTTCAAAAGTCCAAGTGCTGGAAAACAACTCAAAACTTTCTAAAATAACTCTTAAATGAAGGCAGCACATATATGTTATCTTAAAACATTATAAATAGTTCCCCTTTGAAATGTTCATTAAGAAACTGTTCCATATCCTGGTGTGGTAGCCAGAACACAAATCTAATATCTACTGAAATTCACAGAACTATAAAGTCATTAAAATAAAACATTTTTAAATGCCCATTAAATACACCCATTCCCCCTCTTCCCCATCTACCCGGTCTGGAATGGATCCATCCCCACAGACCCCACAAGAATCCAAAGAGGATTCATATTTCTCCTCTGACACTCGCTCCATTTCATGAGCAATGACTGTTAAAACCTGAGATGGCCTGTCTCTAGGCCCATCTGCTGACTACCTTCATGTCCCACCCAGGCTTCCTGCTGCTAATATGGGGCCGTTCTCTTTCCAGCCATCTCCAGCTCTCCCAGTTCAAATCCAGCTTCTCTCATCCTTCTCCCACCTCATTCCACTGACAGTGTGTCCAGCTCTTGTCCACTGTACCCTCTGAAATCTGGGCTCTACTGGGCTTAGATGGAGGAAAGAGGATCACCTATTATCCTGACACTTTTATTTACCTCTTTTCCCCAGGGCAGATAGGATCTGCTTTGAAAGGTTAAAACCACCCGAATGTGGTAACACATAGAACCCCAGCATCATCAGATTTTTCCTTGGAGAACTGAGCAAACTGATACTCTATGTGCTAATCAGGAAATGGAAGCCCAGAGAACTACTACCTAGTAAAACTCAGGAGACAAGCACGAGAGATGATCCATTCCAAAAAGACCAACTCCTACCAAGTACATGGTAGTCCCAAATGGAGTAACTCATAGGTCCACTGGTTTTCATTTCACAATTGATTTGTAGTCAAACCAATGGGGGAAGTCAGTTTAGGGAGTATTGTAAATTAGAACAGCTGCCCTGATGTGAGACTAACAAAGATCTACCAAGGAGATGACTGATCACTTAAGTACATGACCATATACACAAACACCTCAGGGGAATAAGTGGTAATAAGTGTGTCCTAAGTTGGCTGTCTGGCCTACCTGCATGATGTCAAGGACTTTTCAGTATTTCTTACAAAACATCAAAGTTTTCCCCACCAACTTAACGGCAAACCCCTGCTCAGTGTTCACCAACCTCCCCATCCTTGCCCCCAGGGGAGCTCTCCAAGAACAAGCAAAGGGAAGAAGCCAAGGGGTAGTAAGAGGCTGAGGTGGAGGCATTCCAGAAATCTCGGGCAGCTTGTAGACAACTTACAGCTGTTCTTTGCTACCACTGGGATCAAAATGTAAGTGCATTATTTCAGTTAGTCCATACCCCATTCTCTATTGCTTTGTCTCCTACAGTTCTCATCCTGCAATTTTCTTCCTGTAAGTGCAAATTCTATTTCTAACTCAGGGTTCTGTTTAACTCCTTCCTGTATCCTCAAAGTTCTTTGGAAAACACCACCTTCCTCCCTTCTAACAATAATACCACTTTCTTCAGACTCAAAGACATTCATGTGCATACCCTTCAGACACGTTTGTGTTTGCTTTTACAGGAACAGCAGCACTGAGTCTCCCACATAATAAAGCCATCATTGCCTAGGTCAGTATGCACGCCAATGAAACCATGTAACGGCGCTTCCTATTTCACTTTAGGCACATGATACTTTGTACTTGACTGGGAGGTTTCCTATTTTAGGCTATTATAAGCAATCACGCAAAGAAGATACTTCCTTAAAATATATAAAAATGTGTATCTATCTGATGGTTTCCTTAAGATAAACTATTAGAAATAGAATTGCTAAGCCAAAAGTCTTGCAGCTGACCACTCTACCCCTTTCAGGTCTTCTTATTCACATTTCCAACTTATCCTTCAAAAATGATACTCAAATTTACTCATTTTATTTATGAATAATTCAAAAAATATTTATTCAGTGCTGGGCACTATCGACATAATCATTATTAACATTAGCAGACACAGTTCTTGCCCTCAAGGAGCTTACAATCTAAAGGAAGAAACAGAAACCCACACCATCACAAATTCCTCATTGGAATAAAGGCTCAGGTAAATTAAGAAGCAAAAGTACAGGGTTTTTCCAAGACCATAGGAATAATTAGTTCTAATAGGTTCTGAGCTGGGGCTAAGATTGTTGGAAATCAGGTGAAACCAGGTCACAGAGAATCCAGGACAAAATACTCTAAGCAAAGGGAGCATGGACAAAGCCCCTGAGAAGGGACGGAACCTGATTCGACTGAAAACAATGTAAGCAGGTCACTGTGCTGGGCACAGAGGTAGTGGAAAGACGAGGGCAGGGCCAGACCACAGCCCTCCGGCAGCAGCAGCAGCTGACCTCCTGCACCATTCCCAACTGTGAGGCCAGCATTCACTCGCCAGGGGCTAGAACAGGCACAGGGCAGTCAAGCCCACAGAACCAACAACTGAATAATGACACAATACCCTGTAAATCAGAAACATGGATGAAAGTAAACTTACCCTGAAAAGGAATGCACTTTCAATCTGTCCCAGAAACTTTAGGCATACAATATTATGCCACATACTTTAAACAATATAATCAGCTAAACTCATCAGTTTAATAGTTGTCTAAAATATCTGTGTGCACATATAGCAAAATACATGAAAAAGTCTTGACTTTAATATGCTAAGACTAATAAGTCAATTAAAAAGCATTTAAATCTGTCAGAGAAATTTCATATCCACATTTTAATGTGAAAAACATAAATGTCACTTTAAGGTCCTACACTAGAGAAAAAGCTAATCCCCATAATCTTTCAATGAATAATTAGGTAAATTTTCGTTAGTCCAACACAGATTTTCTTATAATCTTCCACATAAATAAGAGTTAAAATCAGTGTTTTAAGATTTTTTTAAAAACTCATGTAGATTCCTTTTACAATGTTTTTATTTATCCATGTAGAAATGGAGTTATCATCATTTAGAGGACATTTTCAGTAATTAATTAGACTATATTAAAAAAC